AAGTATCACAGTCACAAAGTGATTCTAAGAAAAGTTCATCTCACGGAAGCTCTACTGAGTGCCAAAATTTATTCTCTTCAGAATTTTTGAGGTTCTACTTCTGCTGCTCTTGAAATGAAAATATTTTAACTTGGCAGAAATACAGTAATAAATTATCTGATTAGATTTATCTGAACCTGAGCAAATGCATATACTAGTCACAATCCATTCAGACAAATGTTAGAATTCTGTGCTGAGACTGGGGCATGATAATGAGGTAATGCAGGAAATGATAATGGGCAGTAATGTCCACTGTGCTTCATTTGTTTTCCAACTCTTTTGCAAAGGAGCTGGATTTGAATCTTGTAGATTAAAAGCATTTGGGACTAGCTTTGTCATAATGATTTTAATTGCCTTTGTGACCAATGTAGAAAGGTATACTCTTCCCTTTACCTATATTGGACTATAGAGTCAGAACTAAGACCATGTACAAAAGTGATCTCTCTCTGCCTATTTACATTGCTTATAAATTAGCTGCAATGCTTTTGGTGTCTGTGGAGTTACTCTGGCATGAAACTGGTAGAAGAGGAAAAAATTCTCTCCAAGGAGAGGTCCTTCTAAGAAGTCATACAAGGCTTTTTTTTAGCTGCCTTAAAATATTGCATTATTAAGAAGGCTTAGTTTTCAGAGCACTCTGGGGAAAGAAACTATTGTTGCTCTCCACTGATTAGTTGGTGTCATTTGCCAAGTCTCCTTTCACCATCTTCTGAAGTTCCTGGACCGCCAGACAGCTGCAATGCCTCTGGTGAGGAGCTCTGGCTCCAGGTCTGTGTGCAGAATCCAGAGGCTCTGCATCGCCATTACAGTTCCTTTGGAAAAGCCACATTCTGAGGCTGCCATAGGGAAACCAAGTCAGAGCTGAAGCTCCCAGGTGAAATCGGTTTTCTGACTCTTGTTTCTCCTTTGGCAGAGACTGTAAAACACCTGTGTTTGTTGGTTTTTTTTATTGTTCTGTATAGTACACAGGATTCATAGATTCCTGAATTATTTCATTCAGGATACTGCAGGTGTCAGTAGATTTTCCTGCCCATTAAAGTTCAGACAGTTGTTAGGATTCTTTCCTGATTACCTGCTGTTTAATTAGTAAAAGGCAATTAGAAAAGAAAAAAAAATATAGCATCCAATTGGCATGACTAGCAAAGGGTTTCAGGAATACAGTTTAACCAGGAAGACAGAACTGGAAATGAGTGGGCTGAGGGTACTGCCCAAGCAGTGACAAAGCAGCTTCCTGCACTAACAGCAGCAGTCAGGTTTGAATCAGGAGGAGTGAGCAGAACTGGCAAGTCAGTCAGACACATAGGTGTACCAGGCCATACCTACTGGATTATGCCATCCTGAAAAGAACAAAAATGTTGATTTTCTGTTTGAGATCCCTCTCTTCCTCTCCAGTTACTCTTAATAGTGCAAAACCAGGGGAGGTTGGGGTTTTTTTCACCTACTCTTGTCCATAAGAGGAAAAGAAGAAATGCCAGCAAACACAGGCAGGTTCCCACCTGTTCCCAGGGTTTGCCACACTGGCCAGAGCTTTTGCAGTAGTGGCTCTGGTGATAAGCATGACCAGCTGTGACAGCAGCACACAGCAGCTGCAGTCCTAACACCTCCAAACATCCAGAAGGGTCAGCCAAATGAGGACATGGTCACCCTAGAGTGAGGGGCAGAGGAAGGACAAATTGCCAGCATCTACTAGATCTCGAATGACAGGAAATTAGTTTAGAAACAACTTTATATGAAAAATTACCAAGAGGGGATGGCAAAAGAGAGACAATGAAAATATTTACTTTTTGCACTTTTTAAAAAATTCTAAAGTTCCTGAGTCATTTTAAAAGTAAATACTCCTGAATTAAGTTCAGGCTTATTGTTTGATGCCATTAACCCTTCTTGTTAGTTAATGTTACAACCCTACTTCAGCTACAATCAGTGTTAACAACATATGGGAAATTGTGCAAAAAAGAAATCAAAACATTATTTATACTCGGGTTACAAGTTAACGTAAAAGTCTTTGTAAAGTTTAGATGCTCCAAGGTTAAGCATCTAATGTTTAGATTTTTTTTATTGCAAAGTCATACTAAGTTCATCACAGGTAATACTGTTGTAATGTTCTGTAATTTCCACAACCTGTTCTCTGAGTTACATGAATGCTTTGAAAATGGCTTATTATTGTTAAATTCCTGCCTGTCTTCTTTCTTTTTAAAGGGTTTGATAGAGTTGTACACATCTATTTTGTGCCTCCCGCCATTGTGCATTTCTGCATGTTCAGTTTTAGAACTCACTCGAGCAGCTGATGCATATGTACATAGCTGTATGTATGTGCGTATGAATGTACATGTTTATACCTCTCTGTCCAAATATATTCTGTACAGTGTATAGAAAATGTGTAGTGTATGTATATATGTACAGATATGGAGCCATTATTCATCCATTCCATGTGCTAAATTTTTTTATTAATTTGCTTATCCAGAGCTTCCTAATTTGGTGAATCCTCACAAATGTCAGAGCTTTGCACCTTTTTTCTAAACCAGTCTGACTTCACTATTTGCTGTTCAAAACTGACAAATATATTCCATGAATTTTCTGGCTTTTACATTATTCTCCTTACCTTTTCTCATTTGACTTATAGAGGTCTGCCAGTAATAGTTAATTAAGCATATAATCCCTGTTAAAAATAATGACTAAATAACTATGTCATTAACTAAAATGACATAAACACTAACCTAAAATACTTCCCTGCTCATTATATACTCATCCTCTTCCAGCCTCCTGAGATACTTTTGTAAAGTTGTATTTTTTGTGAAGCCTGGTAAGAGGCTGATATTTTAAGTCTTCATCTATGGTGAACTGAAAGTAAACCAAGTTGCCATTTATACTGAACTGCAGCATAGAGAACAGGAGGTAATGGATGCTGTTTAATAAATCAATATTCATATTGTCACAATGATCACATTAAATCAACCTGTGAGTTAGAGACTCTGCTATGCTCAGCGAAACAGCAGTTCTGGTTCAATGGTAATTAAAGATTAGGGACATTGCAGGTAGTTAATTTCTTAGCAAGCATCAAGACATCTTCAGTATTTTCACAATGCATTTCAATTGTATATTCACTTTCCAAAGTTCTTCTCTTTATTTTCCAGCCTAAACTAAACACAGCTAGTTGTTTGATTTAGTTGTCAGACTAATGTCCCATTCCACATTCTGCCCTTTCCTGGGTCTGGAATTTGTGCAGCTCCTGCACTGCCTGTGCTCCTGCACTGTGACAGTCCCACTCTCCATCTGGGACATGGGCACATGGTTGGGAAATGAGATGTGAAGACAATATCTTATTCATAATGAGGACTCAAACATATACATTATGAAAGTATAAACATGTCTTGTTCTCCTTCCCTTTTGATGAAGTTAAAAAGGAAGCCTTCCTTAAAGTACATCTGTTAACTGTGGGTTTTTAAAAAAGCATTTCACAGACCCTGCAGGACAGTAGTTCAGCAAGTCTTGTTTCTGCCATTAGAAAGGTGAAGTAGAATTTTCTGGGCATTTACTTCCACCTTTTGTATTCACTGTGGCAAAGACTTGTGTATATTTAATCAGGTAATGAGACACCTATCAAAAAAAAGGAACTTCATGCATGCTTGAAGTGAATCACAAGTCTGAGGAAAGTTTGCTGTGGAAAATGCTGAGAATGTTCTCTTTCTTGGTGTATTGGTTAGTGAACATTCACAAGCTTTTATTTAAAATATAGGAATAAACCTATAGCATTTCAAAACCTTATTTCTGCAATTTTCAGCAGGAAAAATATTTAAATTAATGTCAAAAATTTCTGTGACAGGTGCTCCTTCATTGGTGTATGGATGATTGGTGCTGTTTGAATGCTTGCTTTCCTCTTTAAAGATGAATAGAAACCTGAAAGTCTGTTAAAGTCATTGTACTTTGGGAACAGTTATAAAGTTTAGGAAGCCAACTGGGGCATTAATCAAGATTGAATCTGTTTAAAAATTCAACTGTGAATTCAGGGAACAAAAAGGGCAAAGTTCAGTAAAACTGAGTGTACCATATCCACATTTGAATTGTTTGTATTCTGAAGGACAAAATGCACTCAAATTTAGTGGCAATAAAGGCTCTGCAATAGTAAAAGAGTTCCATTTTACGGTATTTTGATGATTGCAGGTTAAAGTAGGACTGAATAAATTTCAAACAAAAAGCACAGTCTTTCAGAAGAAAACATTTTACTTATGGACTGTATAAGTTTAATTTTTCATATACGGAATCAAGATCAAATGTTGGAATATTTTTTAATAGTTAATCTGTACTCTGAAATACACTGGAAGCCAGTGGTCATAGTTTCCTAACTGAAAACTGCACGTTATTGGCATATTAGGGAGTGCTGAGCTCCTACAAAAACAGGAAATTTTTATAAGAGGAAGCATCTACTTTCAGTTCCTTGGGATATTTTCTGGAAGTCTCTGTTCCTTATAATTTAGAAAACTATTGTTTATGTTTATTTTTAAAACTGCAAAATTGTTGGCTTCTCACGGCTTCTTTTGTGAAATCAGTATTGTTGTGTGTGATAACATTTAAAAATAATAGCATGTTCTTTTTTTAAACTAAATTTTATATCCAAACAATGTCTTCAGTCACAAAGAGGAATTTGCATTGTTGTGTTTGTATATAGCGTATTGCAGTGCATGATTTTGCTTATGCATCTTATTAAATGCTGTTGTGTCATTATATTGTTGCGGTCAATAGTAGTAGCTAAATGAAGTTTCTACCATTAAAGTGAATTACAAATATAACTGCATTCTTGAATTTTATTTTGAAGTTCATTTAATTTCCTTTTGAACAGGAGCTGTCTAAGCCAAATACATAGTTTACAATCTTTTAGGGAGAAACAGCATTTTGACTTCACCACAGTGATTACCTTAGGAGAGATTTAAACCGGGTCTGGAATAGAAAAAAAAATCCCATTAACTTACTGACTCCAAGAAGCTTCTCTAGGAGTAGAGAGGGCTTTTCCTAAGGTTTTAATTCATCTTTTAGTAGCCCCAAAGCTGTCGCTGCTGTGCGCGGGGCCCCTCACAGGCCGGGCCCCTCACACGGCCGGGCCCCTCACAGGCCGGGCCCCTCACAGGCCGGGCCCCTCACACGGCCGGGCCCGGGCACACCGCGCGCACTGCGCGGGCACTGCCGGGAGCGCG